CCCTGTCCCTCCTGCCCTGATTGCCTTTGCCACGTCCCCTCCACTGTGTCCCCATAGCTTAACGCTGGCTCAAGCCTCATCCTCTCCTTCCTGGACTCTCACCCTGGCCTCCTCCCAGCCTCCCAGCCTCCAGTCTCCTTCCCCTGACTCCAGCTTGTCCACCACACCCAAGCTGACCCAGCTCCTCCCCATCCCTCAACTCTCCCACGGCTCCCTAGTGCCCTGAGGCAGAGTCCCAGTCCCCCGGCCTGGTTTTCAAAGACAGACTTGGTCGGGTCTGGGCTCTCCCAGCCTCTTCTGCTGGAGAACTCACCCTTCCTTGTACATTCTTCCCTCCAGGCCTTGGTATGAGGCTGCCAGAAAGGCCCTTTGCCCCAGCAGCTCAAACATCCCTTGCCTTTTCACGGTGACGGCTCCAGTCACTGTAGCCTGAGCGCTCGCTGTTACACCAAGCTCCGATCCAAGCCCCTCTTACACACCTGTGCCCATCCTGCCATCAGCATTGCAAGGGAAGGCTCATTATCCCCATCCCAGATGCCCAGAGAGGGAAAGACACTTGCTCAAGGTCACACAGCCAGAAAGGAGCCCCGGCTCGGTCCCCGAAGCCCACATTCCTCCGCCCAGCCTTGCTGCCTCCTGACACGCAGTGCCTGGCACAGCCACTGACCCCACGGCCCTGATTTTCCGGGTCATTCCTGGTTTTATAACCTTCTGTCGCTTTATCTTCCTGAACGACCGACATGTCCCAGAAATTCTAACATGTGGGCGGCGCCTCACACCCAGGGGCAGCCCAGAAGCTCTGTTCGGCTACGTGGCCCAGTTTTTGGTTTGGAGAAGAAAGCTGGCTGGAAAAGAGGGGGAGGAGGCATGCCAAAACTGTTTCTGGAACTTTCCATCCAAAGAAAATTACCAGGGAGGAAAAAAATGACCAGGGAGTGTGCAGTGGACAGCCATGTGCCTTGGGCAAAGTATCAACCCGCTCTGACATTATAAATCCCCGGTTTCCTCCGCTATACACCAGGAGTACCAGCCTGGGCAACATAGCAAGACTCTATCTCAAAAAAAAAAAAAAAAAAAATAGCCAGGCATAGTGGTACATGCCTGCAGTCCCAGCTATCCAGGAGGCTGAGAAGGGAGGATTGCCTGAGTCCAAGAGGTTGAGGCTGTGGTGAGCCATGACCACGCCACCGTACTCCAGCCTGGGCGACAGAGCGAGATCCAGATTAAAAAAGAAAAACCAAAACCACATTTTTTTTTGAGTTGTAGTCTCACTTTGTCGCCCAGGCTGGAGGGCAGTGGCACACTCATGGCCACCACAGCCTCAACCCGCTGGGCTCAGGTGATCCCTCTGCCTCAGCCTTCCAAGTAGGTGAAACCACAGGCATGTGCCACCATACCTGGCTGATTTGTTTAATTTATTGTAAAGATGAGGTCTCACCATGTTGCTCAGGCTGGTCTCAAATCCCTGAGCTCAGGTAATCCTCTTGCCTCTGCCTCCCAAAGTGCTGAGATTACAAGCGTGAGCCACCGTGCCCAGCAAAAACCCCATGTTTTAATGAAAGTCACCCCAGGACCTTTGCACCGGCTCTCCTCTCTACCTGGAATCTTTCCCCCAGAGATGTCTCTGTGGCTCCCTCCCCCTTCTCCCTCAGACCTTTGCTCAAGTATTGCCTTTATTTATTTATTTTTTTGAGTTGGAGTCTCACTCTGTCACCCAGACTGGAGTGCAATTGCCACTCCCGGCTACCGCTGCCTTGACCTGCTGGGCTCCGGCGATCCTTCCGCCTCAGCCTTCCAAGTAGCCGG